TGGACCCTGAACTTAAAGCCGTAGATCTACGGGATGGATCCTGAAAGGATTAACTGCCTTCTCCAACCGAGATAAGTCTTAGCAATGAGTTCCCGAAAATTCCTGGGATTTTCTAGGGAGGCGAATGGTGGTTTTGGAGGTGGATACTTCCCTAGACCCTTCCTGGTCCAGAGGAAAGTATGAACTGAACTCAGTGAGGCTTTACCAGCCCACTTTGACTCGGTCGGAGCAGGGGTTGAGTAGCTCAGATCACCTACTGGTGCTTGGCCAGGTCACACCAGCAGTTGACACTAATTAAACAACCTACCTATATACAGTGGACCCTCGCGTAACGCTATTAATCCATTCCTGAGAGCTCAATGTTAGGCGAAATTATCGTTAGGCGAATTAATTTTCCCCATAAGAAATAATGGAAATCAAATTAATCCGTTCCTGACACCCCAAAGTATGAACAAAAAAAATTTTTACCACATGAAATATTAATTTTAATACACACAAACTGAAGAAGACATGCACAGTTACATGACACTTACCTTTATTGAAGATCTGGTGATGATTGATGGGATGGGAGGAGGGAGAGTGTTGATGGTGTTAGTGTTTAGAAGGAGAATCCCCTTCCATTAGCACTTGAGGTAGCAAGTCCTTTTCCGGGGTTACTTCCCTTCTTCTTTTAATGCCACTAGGACCAGCTTGAGAGTCACTGGACTTCTGTCGCACAACATATCTATACGTAGAGGCCTGTACCTCGTTCCTTTATGACTTTCCTAAAGTGTTTCACAACATTGTCAGTGTAATAGTCACCAGCACGGCTTGCAATAGCTGTGTAAGGGTGATTTTCATCAAAAAAGGTTTGCACTTTAAGCCACTTTGTACACATTTCCTTAATCTTTGAAGTAGGCAACTTCCTCAATTTCTCTATCCCCTCCTCTGGAGCAGTTTCCTCAGGTCTGGCCTCTTGCTGTTGAAGATGATCTAGCAGCTCATCAGTGGTTAGTTCTTCATTGTCCTCCTCCACCAACTCTTCCACATCCTCCCCACTAACCTCCAACCCCAAGGACTTCCCCAATGCCACAATGGAGTCCTCAACTGGCATAGGATTCCCAGGGTTAGCCTCAAATCCTTCAAAATCCCTTTTGTCTACACATTCTGGCCACAGTTTTTTCCAAGCAGAGTTCAAGGTCCTCTTAGTCACTTCCTCCCAAGCCTTACCTATAATGTTTACACAATTGAGGATATTAAAGTGATCTCTCCAAAACTCTCTTAGAGTCAGTTGAGTTTCTGAGGTCACTACAAAGCACCTTTCAAACATAGCTTTTGTGTACAGTTTTTTGAAGTTTGCAATGACCTGCTGGTCCATGGGCTGCAGGAGAGGAGTGGTATTAGGAGGCAAAAACTTGACCTTAATGAAGCTCATGTCCGCAGAAAGTCGTTCTGCCAAGTCTGAAGGATGACCAGGAGCATTGTCTAATACCAGGAGGCACTTAAGGTCTAATTTCTTTTCAATTAGGTAATTTTTCACAGTGGGGGCAAATGCATGGTGTAACCAGTCATAGAAAAAGTCCCTAGTGACCCATGCCTTACTGTTTGCCCTCCACAGCACACACAAATTACCTTTGAGGACATTGTTTTTCCTGAACACTCTGGGAGTTTCAGAGTGATACACTAATAAAGGCTTCACTTTGCAATCACCACTAGCATTGGCACACATCAACAGAGTAAGCCTGTCTTTCATGGGCTTATGTCCTGGGAGTGCCTTTTCCTTCTGAGTAATGTAGGTCCTGCTTGGCATTTTCTTCCAAAACAGGCCTGTTTCGTCACAATTAAACACTTGTTCAGGTTTCAGTCCTTCACTGTCTATGTACTCCTTGAATTCCTGCACATATTTTTCAGCCACTTTGTGATCCGAACTGGCAGCCTCACCATGCCTTATCACACTATGTATGCCACTATGATTCTTAAATCTCTCAAACCAACCTTTGCTGGCCTTAAATTCACTCACATCACCACTAGTTGCAGGCATTTTTCTAATTAAATCCTCATGCAACTTCTTAGCCTTTTCACATATGATCGCTTGAGAGATGCTATCTCCTGCTATCTGTTTTTCGTTTATCCACACCAATAACAGTCTCTCAACATCTTCAATCACTTGCGATCTCTGTTTCGAAAACAAAGTTGCACCTTTGGCAAGAACAGCTTCCTTGATTGCCGTTTTCTTGGCCACAATAGTAGCAATGGTTGATTGGGGTTTTGTGTACAACCTGGCCAGCTCGGAGACACGCACTCCACTTTCATACTTAGCAATGATCTCTTTCTTCATATCCATAGTAATTCTCACTCTTTTTTGCTGTAGGGTTGGCACTAGAAGCTTTCTTGGGGCCCATGGTGACTTATTTTGCAGGTGCAATCACTAAAAACGCTGTGATAACATGAAATGTTCCGATTGTATGCTTGGAAGCGACCGCGGTGGCTGGCTTGTAAACACTGGCACCCACGGAACAAGTGAGGCGGGCTCAGGCCGCACGTGGACATGTCTCGAACGAACCGCGTTGAGCGAGTTTTTTAGCACTAGCCGAGGCACAATTTTTGCATTAAAATGTATCGCTAGGCAGATTTAACATTATGCGATGCGTTCGTTAGGCGAGGTTCCACTGTACAAAGCTAAGTAATACGACCAGATAATATTATAAAGTCGAGTAAATCCATTTTAGCTGCTAATGGAATTACTCCTGAATATACTAATGTTAAGTGAAATATCAAAAATAACATGTAAAAGTATGCCATTGTGATAATAACAAGTAGAAACAGTCTACTTAAACTGAATAAAAGGGTGTAACAGTTGCAGAGATTTAATAGTTCATGTGTGTGTGAATTTTCATCTGAGCTGCCTCCCGGAGTGATCTCTGCTAAAACTCTGCTACACTCCTCCATTTTAGGTGTCTCAGGTTGAAATCTCCTAGTAGTAAGATGTTTGGGGCAGGAGTTGGGAGATTTTCCAGACAGTGGTCAATTTTGTCAAGCTGCTCCTGGAATTGCTGGGAAGTTGCATCTGGAGACTTGGATACTACCACAACGACAAGGTTTTTGTTTTCGATCTTTACCGCCAAAACTTCGACTACATCATTTGAGGTATTTAGTAGTTCTAAGCAAATAAGCGACTCTGTGACATACAGGTCAACCCCCCCCCCCTTTGTTGCCTGTTTAGTCTGTCGCATCGGAATAGGTTATAACCTGGGACCCATATTTCGTTGTTATAATGATCTTTTATGTGGGTCTCTGTGAATGCTACAAACATTGCATTTGACTCCGTGAGCAGTGCCTTGATGTGAGGAATTTTGTAGTTTTTTTTACGGCTTTAGACCCTGTATGTTTGCAAAGACAAATGTCGTATTGGTGGAATTTAGGTTTTTTTATTTGCTGACTCTAATATCTGTTGTTCTGGGGTAGAGGCCAATGTCCGTGCCTCTCCTCCAGAAGTGTTTTCAGGTGGTATAGGACTATTGTCATTTCTTGCTAGTCTTTTTTCACTCCTGGCCCTAAATTACTGTCCCTGGACAAAATTGGGGAGACAAAATTGACCCCAATTTGTGGGAAATGCTCTGCATAACAATTGGTTTTCTATATAGTATGTCACTGATGCCAGTATGGTCTGTATAAGTTGTATCGTGTACTTGTAGAAATAAATATTATTATTATTATTATTATTATTATTATTATTATTATTATCATTATTATTATTAACAATGATTATTTTCAAAGATGATGTATTACTCGTATAAGCATTAAGTAAAACGCTTTATCTAATGCTCAATAATAACTCAGATGGTAACAGAAACTCGGGTGATTGAATAATTTGTATATTTTGACTCGCTTCTGGGGTCCTCTTCAGCAGAAGTAGGTTGAAATATATAGAACACTCAGTCTCCTGTGTTTGTCTCCATCTGGGTTATTACTGAACGTTGATAAAGTATTCTTTACACTTTAGTTAACCACTTTGTATAATCCTCATATGGAAAGGCCATTACTTATACAAAGAATTTTGGCCAGGCTATAGTTAATTCCAGGGCTGTGGAGCTGGAAGCAATTCTTGGGTTACTGGAGTCAGAGTTAGGGATGGTGAAATGTAACGAAAGAAGTCAGAGTCGAAGGTTTCGTGTGCTGACTCCACAGCCCTGGTTAATTTTAATAAGCCAATACTGAGCAAGTTGAGTACCTGCATTATGCACTATTATTGAGAACTCTTTCCTACCTACTCTGTCTGGGAGATAATCAAGAAATGTTTCAATTTATCAGCTGTCTTCCATTGAGGTTGGGTGACCTGAAACACAGAAAACCACTGTGAATTTATAATGGTGCCCATTTATTGATAGGTAAACTTGTATTCTTTACGGGCTTTTCAGTACTGGTATTTAGTTACAATAATTGTGTGTATTTTTTAAATAACATTAGCTGTTTATCTTATTTATATCTGACTTAGGATAGTTTCAACTTATTGTGGGTTCTATTTACTTATTATATTTATATCTGACTTAGGGTAGTTTCAACTTATTGTGGGTTCTATTTACTTATTATATTTATATCTAACTTAGGATAGTTTCAACTTATTGTGGGTTCTATTTACTTATTATATTTATATCTAACTTAAGATAGTTTCAACTTATTGTGGGTTCTATTTACTTATTATATTTATATCTGACTTAGGATAAACCGTACCATGGGTGGGGATAGAACTCTTAATCAGAGAGTCTTAAAACTCCAGACCGACGTGCTAGCCATTGGCCAGCTGGCCACTGGGTCAGCTGACTAGTGCGTCAGTCTGGAGTTTTATGACTCTGATCGCGGGTTCTATCCCCACCCGTGGTATGGTTTGTTTGCAATCGTGTCATCATGATTTCGTGAGTCACGATGACTTAGGATAGCTACAACTTACAATGGGTTCTTGGGACCGAAACCCCATCATGAGTCAAGAACCGCCTATATAAATGTTCCTTCTTGTTTGCCAGGTTCTGTACTACTATGTTCAGCTGCTGATTAGGAAGGAAGAACTTCTTATAGACCCTGACCAGAGGTTTGCACGCCTGCTGCACCTCTACTACCTGGCCATGGATCACCGGGAGCTACACCAGTGTCTTAAGATACTCTACACCCAAACCTCTCTTGTGCCTATGAAGCGACCTCTCACCCAGGTCCTGAGGTGGGTGTGTCCTCTCATACTATCCAACAAAACACTTTGTTCATTATGAAGCTGTTATTTGTAGTGTAGAACCCCTGTATCCGCAAATTCGGTTTCTGTGGTTTCATTTATCCAGTTTACTATGGTCAGAAATAACTTAATTTTGTTTAACCCTTTGACTGTCGCAACCCCCAATCCTGAAGTGTCTCCTGGTGTCGCAAAATTTAAAAAAAAAAATTATTTTTTCTTATGAAACGATAGAGAATCTTTTCCCGATTGTAATGACACCAAAAAAACGAAATTTGATGGAAAACTGACGGAATTATGCTCTCACGAAGTTAGCGACCTCGGCACTGTTTACAAATCGGCAATTTCGCCCACTTTGAGCCCTATTTTCGGCTAATTTCATTGTTCCAGTCACCCAACCTCATAGCTATTTCTTTAGAACTCCATTTTTTCTATCGATTGAGTACAAGAAACTGCCCATTTACCGATTTCAACTACCTAATAATGTGGTCAGAAATTTGCAATTTGGCCAATTCACGAAAACTAAAAAAATATGACAATTTCAAAATATGGTCCAGAATGAACAATGCAGACATTCCTGGCTCTAAAATAACATTTTCTTTGTTCATCAGTCATGTCTCCAGGCCCCTCTGATATTACTCTTGCTTTCTATTTTGAATTTTTATTCAAACAAAAATAGAAGACTTACTATTATGCAGACTACTGCAATACTGTAATAATTGTATAAATAACATCAACCCATTCATGACTGCATATTAGAATGCTAGTTGGACATTTATTGGACAATGGCATCATCTGTTTACTTTTGAACATTGGCAAAAATCAAACATTTCCCCTACTTTGAGCTCCATTTCTAGGTTCTTTTTATAGTAAAATCAATCAAAATCACCTCTATTTCTATAATATATTTTCCATTCTATCAAATGAGACCAAGAAAACGAGAATACAACCATAAATACTATACGAAAATAGACCACAAAGTCGGCATTTTAATTAAAAAAAACGATCGGAGTTTTTTTTTTCTCATTATGCACTGCGTGCTCCAGGATTTTTTTTATATGGTGCACACTGACCACACAGACCCATTCTCTCACATGTGGGCCTACCAGCTTTCTCCTGCTTGATTTGAAGCCGCTAGAATTTATGAGTACAGTGGACCCCCGCATAACGATGGCATCACATAGCGATTTTTCCGCATAACGATTACTTTTATCGCAAAATTTTTGCCGCGCATACCGATTAAAAACCCGCTTACCGATTTTCGTCCGAAACGCGTCCAATGTGCCCTCACATGTGCCGGCCGTCCCATTGTTTACCAGCCAGCCTCCGCGGTAACATCCAAGCATACACTCGGAATATTTCGTATTATTACAGTGTTTTCGGTGCTGTTTCTGGAAAATAAGTGACCATGGGCCCCAAGAAAGCTTCTAGTGCCAACCCTGTGGTAAAAAGGGTGAGAATTAGTATGGAAATTAAGAAAGATTTTGAAGGGTTTGGGCTAACCCTGAGAAGCCTATGCCAGTTGTGGAATCCATTGTGCCTACTTCAAAGATTAAGGAAATGTGTGCACAGTGGGTTGAACTGCAAACCTTTATAGATGAAAATCACCCTGACACAGCTGTTGCAAGCCGTGCTGTTGACTATTTCAATGACAATGTTGTGGCCCATTTTAGACAAATCGTAAAGGAACGGGAGGTACAGAGCTCTATGGACAGATTTGTTGTGCGACAGAGGTCCAGTGACTCTGAAGCTGGTCCTAGTGGCATTAAAAGAAGAAGGAAGTAACCCCGGAAAAGGACTTGCTACCTCAAGTCGTAATGGAAGGGGATTCCCCTTCTAAACAGTAAGAAGATAATGCTCTCCCCTCCTCCCATCCCATCAATCATCACCAGATCTTCAATAAAAGTAAGTGTCATTTAATTGTGCATGCCTTTTTCAGTTTGTGTGTATTAAAATTAACATTTCATGTGGTAAAAAAAAATTTTTTTCATACTTTTGGGCGTCTTGCACGGATTAATTTTATTTCCATTATTTCTTATGGGGAAAATTCATTCGCATAACGATTATTTCGCATAACGATGAGCCCTCTTGCACGGATTAAAATCGTTAACCGGGGGTCCACTGTATATATATGTCAAACACGGTACCTCGTAAGACGTATATATACGGCCGCGACAGTCAAAGGGTTAATAATGATTCCAAAACACAATAGTAGTGATGGTGGCAGTTCTTCAAAGCCTAAGAGAAGCCATGAGATGCTTCCCATCAGTGAAAAACTTATGATTCTCCACTTCTTGTGCATAATTTATCAATTAAACTCTATCATGGGTATGTGCGTAAATGAAAAACAATCTTATATGTAGAGTTTGCTACTATCCGTGGTAGGTCTTGGAGAGTATCTTCCATGAATACGGGGGAACTACTGTACTGTATGTGTCTGTTAGGTATCTCCATGGGGAAGTGGAACAGAATTCTTCCTCTGTAAGCCATGCGTGTCGTACGAGGTAACTAAAATGCCAGGAACAAGGGGCTAGTAACCCCTTTTCTTGTATGCATTATTGAAAGTAAGAAGATAAATTTTTAAATTTTCTTCTTTTTGAAACCCTGCTTTGGTGGGAGATGGCCAGTATGTTGAAAAAATATGTAATGCGAGGCCATTGCCTGGCAGGAAGGAATGATCGCCACCATGGCCAGAATGCGGGTTACTGAACGAATTGACTCCTTAATGCTTCATCTGTTCATGGGAAGGTTTGGAAATAGTTTTCTGCATCTGTAAGTTAAGCTCAGAGTCCTATAACAAAGTATGGCATCTTGAGCTTCATAGCTCTGATCTCTCTTATGCTTGCATTTTCCCGTTTGAATATGGCAGTTTTTGTGCCATGCAGCGCCTCTCGTGTTACATGAAGTGCAATAAAACTGTATATATACACAACCCGCACATAAACTGCAACTTATGACGACATTTCAGTGCCACTTAACCATTAACTAGTCGCACTAGTGCCCTGTGTTACTCGTTAATGGTCCAGATTCAACCGAAATGTCGTCACGAGTTTGGTTCTCCTATGTGCAGGTTATTTGTGTATTGTGTAGTGTAGGGCTAACTATTGTGTTTGTCATCATTATCTGCAGGAAGCAAGAAACAGTGGTACTTGTCTTAGACATACTCGATATTATTATTATTACAGTCGTAACTCAGCACTAAAGTTCCAAGGGTCATACAGCGCTGCAAGGCAGGATGTGCCGAAGATTATATACAGACACTCCTCGACCTACGATGGTTTGACTTAAACAATATTTCAACTTTACGATGGTGCGGCAGAAATTACTTTGGAGATGAAACATGAGATAATTACCCAACATGAAGGTGGTAAATCCCTAATTTGTATTCATTTACTTTTCAATACGGGTATTTAGTTACAGTAATTATTTATTTATTTATTTACTTATACTGTGACATTATTTAGCATGTATGTACAGTGGACCCCCGGTTAACGAACTTTTTTCATTCCAGTAGTATGTTCAGGTGCCAGTACTGACCGAATTTTTTCCCATAAGGAATATTGTGAAGTAGATTAGTCCATTTCAGACCCCCAAACATACACGTACAAATGCACTTACATAAATACACTTACATAATTGGTCGCATTTGGAGGTGATCGTTAAGCGGGGGTCCACTGTATTCATATACAACGTATAATATTTTTGACTTAGGATGGTTTGTCAGAATGTAACTCCATTGTAGGTCAAGGAGTATCTGTATATGCAAAGATCTGAAACAAGGGAGGGTTAGGGGTATGCAAGGGGTAGTTGGTAAGACATACTCAGTACTTTTTCTGTGTCTTTCAGGGAACTCTACACCAAACCACGAACCCTGAAACAGGTTTGCCGAGTCATAATATACGACGCCCTGGGTCGAAGAACTGCGCAGAACGTCAACAAGTTACCACTTCCGGGAATGTTAAAAGACTATATTTTAAATTTCGATCCTTAGAGCCCTTTTCTTGTGCTCGACAGTAAGGCAAATGTTTTCCCTACTATTCTAACAGTGAAAACCAGAAAAGAGTTGTCCCTTCTTGTGTGGAAGGTTGAAAAGCTAAAATCGCAGGCTGCTCGTCCCGGCCAGCAGTGTGTGTCGTTATGGTTCATTAGTGTCTTTAAACTTCATAGTTGGTTACGATAGCTAAAGCGTGTTACAAAGACTTGTTAGGCCGAGCAACACTGAAGCTGAAATACGCCGTACATACGTGCATTAGAATAATAAAGCAGGTTGGTGCATTCTAAGCATATGTGCGATGTGAAATGGCATTCTGAAAATATTGAACTTGCTTGTCAGCTATGTAAGGGCAACTATAGTTGTAAGTGGAGGAACATTTTTTAATGGCGAAGATGAGCAAATTGTCCAGATAAATAATGCAGAGCTTGATAAATATTGAGCTTTCCTTCCTAGCTAGGCTGTGTACATATGGTGTATATATGGATATATAGTATATATATAAATATATATATATATATATTTTAAATTCCTTGGCGATGGTGCTTGTGTTTTTTGTGGCATTGCCTTGCTGGTAGCCAAGCACATCTGCAGTAGAGATGGTGGCTGTCTAGCGGGGCAAAGGAGCCAGTGTAAATTGAGGGAGCAAAGCTGCAACTCAAATGGGATCAGAAATGAGAGTAGAATTGTTTAGCTTCCAAATAGTGCTTGTGTGGGATGTGGAGACTTGACCCTCCATGAGGGATCTAACCCTCTGATCTCCGAGACGAGACGAGGGTATACGAACTTGGCCGTAGCGAGGCTCCCCAGTAGTGCTTCTCGTTCCTCTCCACACTGAGAGAAGACTTGGGTGGGAAAGTTAGCCAACAGCTGGCTTTTTAAGGGGCTAAAAGAAGGTATTTGATATGCTTGTGCAGCCAACCAGACCTCCCTAGTGCGACACAAAATACTCGCTTGTGAATTCTGATGATTCCGTGTTTGTGTTTTTCCTTTCCCCCTTGAAATTTAATTGGCAATTAGACAAATGTTAATGAAATTCAACCCAAGAGATAAACATTACATAGAAAATCGTGCATAATAACATCCCAGACTCCTGAGGTATGGGTACTTCAAGACTTAATCTGCATTTAGAGAATTGTATATTTCAGAGCAAGTATATATAATAAATTTTTGTAAATAGTACAAAATTATGTTTCACCGATCTGGTATATGTGTAAATTATATTCAAATTGTTATTAAACATCTAAGTTTTTTAATGTTTTGATCATCTTCCCGTGAGGTAAGAAACACCAACTTAGATCAACTTAGTCATCATGATACCCAGCAAAGTTAGGTAAGGTTTGTTAAGTTAGGTAAGGTTTGTCAGGTTAGGTAAGGTTTATCAGGTTAGGTAAGGTTTGTCAGGTTAGGTAAGGTTTGTCAGGTTAAGTAAGGTTTGTCAGGTTACGTAAGGTTTGTCAGGTTACGTAAGGTTTGTCAGGTTACGTAAGGTTTGTCAGGTTACGTAAGGTTTGTCAGGTTAGGTTAGGTAAGGTTTGTCAGGTTAGGTAAGGTTTGTCAGGTTACGTAAGGTTTGTCAGGTTAGGTAAGGTTTGTCAGGTTAGGTAAGGTTTATCAGGTTAGGTAAGGTTTGTCAGGTTACGTAAGGTTTGTCAGGTTACGTAAGGTTTGTCAGGTTACGTAAGGTTTGTCAGGTTAGGTTAGGTAAGGTTTGTCAGGTTACGTAAGGTTTGTCAGGTTACGTAAGGTTTGTCAGGTTAGGTAAGGTTTGTCAGGTTAGGTAAGGTTTGTCAGGTTAGGTAAGGTTTGTCAGGTTAGGTAAGGTTTATCAGGTTAGGTAAGGTTTATCAGGTTAGTAAGGTTTGTCAGGTTAGGTTAGGTAAGGTTTGTCAGGTTAGGTTAGGTAAGGTTTGTCAGGTTACGTAAGGTTTGTCAGGTTAGGTTAGGTAAGGTTTGTCAGGTTAGGTTAGGTAAGGTTTGTCAGGTTAGGTAAGGTTTGTCAGGTTAGGTAAGGTTTGTCAGGTTAGGTAAGGTTTGTCAGGTTAGGTAAGGTTTGTCAGGTTAGGTAAGGTTTATCAGGTTAGGTAAGGTTTATCAGGTTAGGTAAGGTTTGTCAGGTTAGGTTAGGTAAGGTTTGTCAGGTTAGGTTAGGTAAGGTTTGTCAGGTTACGTAAGGTTTGTCAGGTTAGGTTAGGTAAGGTTTGTCAGGTTAGGTTAGGTAAGGTTTGTCAGGTTAGGTAAGGTTTGTCAGGTTAGGTAAGGTTTGTCAGGTTACATAAGGTTTGCCAAGTTAGGTAAGGTTTGTCAGGTTAAGTAAGGTTTGTCAGGTTACGTAAGGTTTGTCAGGTTACGTAAGGTTTGTCAGGTTAGGTAAGGTTTGTCAGGTTAGGTTAGGTAAGGTTTGTCAGGTTACGTAAGGTTTGTCAGGTTACGTAAGGTTTGTCAGGTTAGGTAAGGTTTATCAGGTTAGGTAAGGTTTGTCAGGTTAGGTAAGGTTTATCAGGTTAGGTAAGGTTTGTCAGGTTAGGTAAGGTTTATCAGGTTAGGTAAGGTTTGTCAGGTTAGGTTAGGTAAGGTTTGTCAGGTTAGGTTAGGTAAGGTTTGTCAGGTTACGTAAGGTTTGTCAGGTTAGGTTAGGTAAGGTTTGTCAGGTTACATAAGGTTTGTCAGGTTAGGTTAGGTAAGGTTTGTCAGGTTACGTAAGGTTTGTCAAGTTAGGTAAGGTTTGTCAGGTTAAGTAAGGTTTGTCAGGTTAGGTTAGGTCAGGAAACAGGACAAGTGTTTCCTCACACAGGTCTTAGTCACATGATAACCCACAGCTTGAGCTCTGGATCATCTGACCAAGACCTTCCACTGTCTTACCACCCCTTTAAAAATTATATCCATTAGATTATTTCCTATATAGATACTCTCTGGCAAGACAGTGATGGAGTGATGATGAAAGCGTTTCTTCTTTTTTGAGTTGCCCGGCCTTAGTGGGAAATGGCTGATATATAAAAAAATAAAATATATAGTTGCCTAGCAACCTGCTTACCTCATGTTTATATTTTAAATATCTGTATTAGTCTTTAAACAAGAATAATTTACATAATTTGTACTGGTTAGATCAAACATTTTTTATTAATGACTTAGTGTTATTACACTTTGTTAGTTTTACATATTAGACTTTTTTCTTTTTTTTTTTTCAACAATTATAATTGTATACAGGATTTTTTTTAGGTTACATACAAAAAAAAAAGATTATTTTTGCCTTTCTGTGTTGTTTCCGAGTCATAGGCAGGAAACTCCAAGAAGGTGAAACTGGACTCGGATGTTTGGTTCACAATTCTCTGGTTGTTACAAGGTAAATATTTTATGTAATATCTTAGGTTACTGAGCAGTGGACATGGAAAGAAATTTAAGCAGCGGCGGCTCGTGCGGGGGTGCTGCAGAACTGCAGCACCCCCTGTTTTCTTTAATTATATAATGTACACCTCTTCAAGGGGGGCTCTTTGCTGTGGTGAAGAGGCTCTTGGTCTGAGGAATCAGACCTGTCGGTCTCCTTCCTCAGACCGAACCTAATTACCCCCCAATCCCCCCATCCCTATCCCATCCTCCCCTTTTTCCTTTCCACCTCCTCCTCCCCACCCCTCCCTTTTGCCCTTCCTCTTTTTGGCCTTTGGGATTTCTCCCACAGGCGCACTAGTTCCTAGGTAGGGGAAAGGATACCGGGGTCCATCCCATTCCGTTGAGGTTCTTGGCGGTGGCGTAGTTTGCCGTGGAATCTGGATCGCCTGGGGATGCCCCGATCCCTCTCCGGTACCCCGGAGTAGTATTGGGTGGTCTTTGGGCGACAGGTGTATCTCTGGAAGCCACCTTTCGGATTCCGGGGGTGGTGGCCGAAGGAGGTATGCTTTGTGGCGGATATCCAGCCGCCCTCTCTTTTGTCCACCGAGGTAGCTCGGCAGATGTGAGGTTGCTATCCCGGATTGCTGGTTTACTGGCATGAAGGGTAGGGTATGGCACGGGTTCCATGCTGCATCTGCGCTGCTAGCGGTGCTGAGGTCCTCTTGGATGCGGAGGGAATTTCCGGCCCTTTCATTCCTCCTGGGAACTATTCCTCCCCGCTCCCCCCTTTTTTTTTATTCTTTTCTTCTTTCTTTTTTTTTTCTTAAAAACAAAAAGCAAAGAAGTAACCTAACCATGGAGAAACCAATCCATGAACCCACTACCCCCGGGCCCCTTCTTGATACCGCACCCCATTCTGACCCTGCCTTGTTTTTAGACCACTCTCCGGACACTCCTGATGCCCCTTTTACCCTCTTGCTGGTGCTGTTTCCTCACACGCTTCGGGTTTACCGGGGCTTCGACTGACTCCTTCGATTTGTCTGAACTCCGCTCTCCTTTGACTATGCTTCCGGCTTCTCCCTCTAGGGTACGGCAATTTCGAATCGCCCGCCCATTCCACACCGGACCAACTCCGGTCCTACTCCTAAACGCCAACGTCAATCTCCTGATGATGCTCCTTCGTTCCCTTTCCCCATTCTACTCGGAAAAGACCGACACGTCATGCACTCCCTCTCCACGCTCAGTTTCGGACCACACAATGGACTAAATTCTTTACTTTAAGACCGACTTTCTTCTGCCTACCTTTCTGACCATAGTATTGGCAAAGCGCTCCTGCGTCATGTTGGTAGAGATATTTTCATTTCATGCTCTCAAGAGCGGTACGCGCATCATCACTGTCCAGAATGCTACCCCGATACTAATCCTATCACTATTGAAAAACATCTTTCTCTCAATTCTTGTAGTGGTACTGTCATTCTGCCCCATACCATAGTCCAACAGAATTTCCAGTCATGTGGCAATGACATTCTTGAACAGCTGGAACTCCAGGATCTCCCAATCCTCAAAGTAAACACTTATGTCCTTCCTGCCCGGGGGCGGAGACTTTACCCTTGCAATGTGGCTCGTTTAACTTTTGACAGCCAAGAACTCCCGTCCTCTGTATATGTCGCGGGACATCGGTTACAAGTTTGAAAGGTGATACCTACACCGCAACAGTGTAGAAATTGCTGGCGTTTTGGTCACCCAGCGAAATATTGCAGATCTATGGCTGAATGCCCAGTCTGTGGTGCCGACGACCATTCTAATACATCTTGCAGTCAACCTCCATCTTGCCTTAATTGTAAATGAAGCTCACCCTTCGTACTCCCGCCGTTGCCAGGTCTACTTTAATGAACGTGAAATCCGTTGCCTCAGAGGCAGAAGGTCTCCCTTATGCTATGGCAGTTACTCATCTCCGCCTCCAAGGGAGACTACCCCGTGTTTTCTTATTCTCGTGTTTCAAAAATCCCCCCACTTCTGGGGTCCCATCTTCTGCAGCCTCCTCTGTTGTTACCCCTCCCAGAGCCACTCCGGCATCTAATCCTTTTGCTGTCCTTGGCTCTGACATCCCGGACTACAACTCAGTCTGTTCTTACATCTTCGCGTCCTTCCTCACAAGCCCCAGTATCGACATGACCTCGTACGACACCTAATACAATCGCCCCTCTACTTCTCAGAAGTCCAAAAAATCCACATTGCTCAAATCTTCTTTGCCCCTTCCTTCCCTTCTTTCCACCTCCACACTTTACCTTTCCAGTCTCCGTGCCTAGTTCTTCCCCTCTCTCTGGCTCTATTACAAGTGTGGAGATTCACCCTCCTCCTCGTACTATCCCTTTCCCACCCCGTCCCCTCCCAAGTTTCTCCCTCTTCTGCCACCTCCCAGGTTTCTGTCTCTTCTGTCCCCCCCACACTTCATCTCCAGTCCCTTACACTCTTTCCTCCCCCTCTACTTTGGTACAGTCCAATTACTGTCCCAATCTTTACTCACCCTCCCCCTTCTATCTCCAATATGGTCTCCCATACATCTTTGAATTCGGAAATACTTGAAGCCATTTCAGAATATATTGCAGAGACTAAACCTTCAATGGACACTGATTCACTTCCTGTTCCTTCTCTTCCCTCTCCTCCATCTTCACAACCCCATTCTTCGCAACGCTCCGTTCCTTCGCTGCTTGAACGTCTTCCAATGCCACCACACGTTGACTTTTCTAACCCCTCTAGTCCGTAGGTGCCTTTCCCTACGGATTCCTGGTATTTTTTTCTTCATCGCCAATCATGGCCTATTTACAGTGGAATATCCGCGGCCTCAGGGGTAATCGGGGTGAGCTTCAGATGTTGCTTTCCAGGTTTTTCCCTGTTGGTGCTTGCTTACAAGAACCAAAATTT